ATAGAAAATCTCATTTTAAAGGACAACCCATGTCAACAACATAGCGGAATAGGAAGGTCCAGGCTCTCGTTATCCATGGAAGCATTAAATAAACTTCTGACTGACTAAAATAACTTGGTGGAAGCTCTGGAAACCAGTCGGGGATCTGTGCCAGCCAGGCAAATGCGCAATCAAGAGAAAAGTCACAATCAGAAAGAAACTTTCATGATGGTTTTACTCGCCCTTGCCCACTCCCTCCCCAGCACAGCTCAGTTGAGAGATGGCAGCAGCCCAATTCCCCATTCCCTCCCTCAAAAGAAAAGGAGCAGAACTTGTGTACCATGGTCTGACCTATCTGTGGGCTGCCCGAGAGACTGGCTGTTCTCTCTCTCGACTAGGAACTCAGACAAGAAACAGCAGCACAGTTCGGATCTCAGGTGACAGAAGACAGTAGGCAGTGGTAGCCAGAGCCACCATGCATGAGGACTGCAGGGGGACTAATTTGGGGCAGCAGGTGGGGGTGAGGGGGAGCATACCAAAAGAATTGAAGCCAGAAGTTAAAACATATTCTTTACCCCTAGAAGCGTGATTCACAGTAGCCAAAATCTGAAAGCAACCCAAGTGTCCACAGACAGATGAGTGTATAAACAAAATGTGCTATATGTGTACAAAGGGGTATTATTCAGCCTTAAGGAAGGAAACTGCTTTGTGGTCCAACAAGAATGAACCTTGAACATTATGCTGAGTAAATAAGCTAATCACAAAAGGATAAATACCGTGTGATTCCACTTAGTTGAGACAATTTGAGTAGGTAATATGGAGACAGAATAGAATCGTGGTTGCCAGGGACTTGGGAGAAGGAAGGAACCGGGAGCTATTGTTTAATGGTGATGACGCTGCATTTGGGAGCAGGAAAAAGTCTGGAGATGGCAGTGGATGGCTGCAAAACAGTGCATACATACTTGGCCCACATCCTTAAAGATGATAAATTGTATACATTTCTTACTATAGTTAAACCTGGTACATATTTTTTTAAAGATCTGTTTATTTGAAAGGCAGAGACAAAGAGAGATGAGGCAGAGAGAGAGAGAGACAGAGACAGAGAGGGCTTCCATCCACAGGTTCACTCCTCAGAATGGCTGCAGCGGCCGGAGCTGCACTGATATTCTGCTCTCACAGGCCATAGCAGAGACCCGGTTTGGAAGTGGAGCAGCTGGGACTCGAACCAGTGCCCATATGGGATGCCGGCACTGCAGGCAGCTTTACCTGCTATGCCACAGCACCGACCCCAGTAGTACACATTTTAAAGCAGGATACATCTGTATCCTCGCCACCAGTGAGGCAGTCAAGTACCAACTGAATATCCACCAGATTCCATGCCAGTAAATTAATATTCAGCCGCTTACTTTAACAATAAAATGCTTATAGTTTTGTGGGTTTTTTAAAGATTTATTTATTTATTTATTTGGAAGGCAGAGTTACAGAGAGGCAGAGGCAGAGATAGAGACAGAGAAGTCTTCCATCCACTGGTTCACTACCCAAATGCCCACAATAGCCAGAGCTAAGCCGATCTGAAGCCAGGAGCCTGGACCTTCTTTCAGGTCTCTCATGTGTGTACAAAGGCCCAGGGACTTGGGCCACCCTCCACTGCTTTCCCAGGCCATAGCAGAGAGCAGGATTGGAAGTGGAACAGCCCGGACTCGAACCAGTGCCCATATGGGATGCCAGCACTGCAGGTGGCAGCTTTACCCACTACACCACAGCGCCAGCTCCTATAGTTATGCTTTGCAAGGAACAAATGGTCAGTGCTAGGTGATATAACAAAATTGGAATATTACATAAAATACCCATCTGTGAAATGTATAAAATATATTTTAGTTTGTATTCAACTCATTCATTGTTCAGTGTATTTGAGGATTAGGATATGGGAACAATATTTTTTTAAATAATTGCATTTTGAATTTCCTATTTGCTTATTACCATCTTAATTAAGAACTCTATTGCATCCTAAATTTAAAACATTTATTGCACATTTAAGAGCCACAATACCAAAAAAGTTTTGTTTTTTAATATTTAGTTTCTATCCCTCAGGATTGTTTAAAGAAATTTTAGTCTAAAAGAGGAACTTACTGGAGAACAAAAATTAGTGATTGGTGAGTGGGCCGCATTCTGCAGAGAGCCAGAACAGCCTCTGAAACGTGAACCTCTCATCAGCCCAGAATTCGCACTTCTATTTTTTTTCTATCACAGCAGAACTTTCTGACAACAATTTCCATTAAGGAAAAGATCAGTCTCTCAGATTGAAATTGTCTTCTTTTGAGTGTTACTTAAAGTATAAGTATCTATCATTAAACAAGGGTTTTCTTTATGGTGTTACAATTAAAGAATTGGCAATTGTGAGAACTATAATCTGAAGTGGGAACAGTTGTCAGATCCAGTAAGAAACAAGAAAGCTTGTGGCACTTCTGCTTCTTTGGGGAAATGATTTTGGACCATTTTGAAATTAAATTTTCATAGCATATAATGTGAACTTAGTTCTTGGTGGCAATTTTGGCATATTTATGTAGTATTCTTGTAAAGAGTTTAACATATTGCTCAATTTATGTATGTCTGTATCCCATATGACATAAGCACCCTTTTAGTTCTTTTTAGAATACTATAATTTCAGAATTACCAATATTTAGATTCTTTGGGTAACTTTAATCAGTAGGAGTATAATACTCAGATATGATTTTAGTGGGATTTCTTGATATGTTTTTGGGTTGGTTCTTTCTAAAGCATATATTAAAAGTTTGACAAAATACAGAGAGGAGTTTATATATTTATTTTTTAATCAGAATTTATCTTCAGATTAGGTAGCGATAACAATCACTGTGTTTCTGTTGGGTTGTGCTGGAGTCTGGGCTCTTCTAGGTAGCAAAATTGCACTGAAACACTAGGAAAGCTATTAAGATGGGAGTATCTGTAACCAACGCTAAGTCAGGAAGGCACGAAATACCATCAAAACATTTTCAAAACTATTGCAATTGATGCCACATGCATGCTTCTGGGTTATTTTTTCATACAATTAACACATTCTCAAATTCATCCGGTCCATGAAGACTGGACTGTAAAATAGCTCGCCAGGTCAGTAGACTTTCTCTGAAAGGAAGTATGCGTGTGGTTCACATTCAGACGTTTGATTCCACTTCACATACCAGTTGTACAGTAGCCAAGGACTGGTTTTCCCTGCTGTAAAAATTGACCCTAATAAGTCACTGAAGGTGAAAGAAAAACAGCATGAAACCGTGTACTGTGTATTAGTCTGTTTTCTGTTGCTGTAACAAGCTGAGCGCTTGAAGAGAGCCTTATTTAACTCACAGTTTTGGGGGCTGAAAGTCAAGTATCAGGCAGCTCCGTGTGTTCGGCCTTCAGTGAGCATCCCATCGTGGCAGATAACTGGGCAGGGCCATGTCTGGAAAGATCACGTGGTGAGACAGGAAGCCGGGGCTCTCAGGAGCGAACTGCATCAACCCCTTCCCAGTGACCTCATTACCTCCCCTGAGGTCCCACCCTGTGAAGTTCACCACGTTTGCCTCATCTCAGCACTCCACACCGGGGACACGCGGACAACAGAGAACCTTTGGGAGATACCACGCCCAGTTGTAGTGTCCTGCAGAGGCGGATCACTAGCCAGCATCTCACCACAAGCTGGCTGTGTGAGGGCCAAAGTCCGGCTGGAATGCAGTGCTGTCTCTTGAACGAGGCCTTTCCTGCCATTTCTGTCAGAAATGGAATTGAGGATAGCCATCTTCACAAAGTTGAGTCTTTTTTACGGCCAGTACTTAACAAGTAACTACTCCACAGCTGGATCCATGGCAGCGAGGCTTCAGAAGCATGCTGATGTGGGCGTGCACCGTTAATTGCACAACACAGTCTCAGCCATCTTGAGACTGGAACCTTGCATGAGTAAGGCCCCAGGAATGTCCATTCATCAATTAAGCAAGTATTTATTGAGTGACTGGTATGCGCCAAGCTTCATATTTCTTGCCGCTGATAGCCCTCTGAGTCCTCAGACCATTCATCTTAAAGAAGAATAATGAAGTTTGCTATTTTAAAACTCAAATACTTCAATAAGGGAAAAGATCTTGGTCATTCGTGTAATGAATTTGAGAGTTTTTTGGGAAAGTGGAAGTGATAAAGGCAGGTGTTTTTCCTTAAGATAAAGCTGGTAATAAGTCCACATAATAATCAATAGACAGCATTTTTCTAATTTATTATAATAGTGTTATCTCTTTCCCAGAAATGAATACTTGGAATCTGTTTAAAGTAGATCATTAGTGAGGACTGATAAAACCTAGCAAGGCCTTCTGTAGCTTCCTTTGTTAATATATGACTCCAATTTGAATTTCAGTCCTTCTTCATTTGGGCCTAGGCAATAAAATTCCTTCTTGTCTCAAGTGAGATGGCATTGCCCGTGCAACAGTCAGTCTTCCCAGAATATAGCCTTCAGCTCCCCTCCTGTTGGAAGCAGTAAGAGATGAGGTGAATGAGAGTGCATAAGCCGTGAAGCCCACAGAAGGACCGGGTGGGCAGGGGAGCTGCCTGGCTACAGGTCTGGGGGCGGCAGGGAGGATTTGCAGCTCTCCATCCAAGGCTGACCCTCACGTTTGAATCAGCCAGGATTAGAGTGAGCTGTCAGCAAGAAAGCCTTTAAACACCATGTATTATGTTGATCAATTTTATGAGACTTTTTCCTGCCAAGAAAAAATGGAAAATGGCAATCCTGAACATTTTTCTGAGAAAACACTGCGGTTTGCCAGTCTCACCGTTTTTAGCTGTAGCTGGCCATTGCTGTTGGGGCAGAGACTAAATAATTGGTCCCACAGCAGTGAAGTATGTTATTCTGCCATCTGGGTCTGGGACATACAGTAAGTTCTTTTGTTTCTTTTCTAGTGGACTTTTTAAAAAATAGGGTCACTTCTTCGTAATTCATATTTTTGTGTTTCTGCAATCATTGATTTCACTGCTTTTTCCACCAGTTTACTGCAGTGTCCCCAGCAGTTCCTGAATTCTTGAAGACTCCTCCGACTGTGGATCAGCCTTCCACAAGGTCCACAGCTGCCGTCCTCCCCACGAACACTGTGTCCTCAGCAAAGCCTGGCCCAGCACTGGTCAAGGTGGGTACCTGGGACGCGCTGGTCATGTGGCTGTACTCATGACGCCGTGGCCCACGAGTGGCAGACAGGGGCCTCTGAGTGGTGCAGCCTGCCTGTAGACCAAAGCCTTAATGAAACCATGGGAAGCCCTTGCTGGACTGGGGCCTTTATGTTTGAAACTTCAACCTTTAACAAATGACCTGGTGTCCTGCAGTCACAGAAAAACACAACATTTGATCTCTGAGGTTACTTGGAAAAGGTAATGGAAAAAGGCATTAAAAAAAAAACCTTGTGTATTTCTTCATGAGATGTATTTTTCATGAACATTTTTCAAGATACTTTGTAGGCATGGATTTCTGGACTTTTTGCACTGAAATAAACTTATTTTTTAATTCCCTTTTCCATGAACTTTTTGAAGTACCCTGCTATATGAGACGGTGATGCAGAAAGACTTCAGAAATCATTTTATCAGAAGCCCCCAAGCCCCCAAGACAGTCTCCGACGGAGTAGCCCCAGCTCACACTGGGGAGTCGTGGCTCTCCCCAGAGGTCGTTCATGGCAGCATGGCCGGGGGCTGTGTGTGCAGGGCCTAGCTCAGTGGTGTTCCAGATAGATTGCCTGCCGGGTTAAAGGTTCGAGAGAAGTGAGTATGTTGTTTTCATTTGGCAGATTTGGCCAGAGCAAGTTGGGTTTGTTGTTCAGATAAGCTTCAGACTCGTGGCACTGTTCCCCATATTTAACTTGGTCAAAATAACTCAGAATAAATCCCAAGGAAGATTAAAATTTTTAATATACAGTACATGTTTAAAGTTTTTAAAACTATATTTAGAGCTTCTAAATAAAGTGGATGGAGAGAATAAACTGAAGAACAGGTTTGCCAGTTCAGAGGTAGCTTTTGCCAAGAACAGCAGAATATGGATCTCCAACTTCTAGAACTCAAATTAGGACGGAGAGCTGGCTGAACTCTCAGCGCCTTTCCAGTGAGGGGACCGACGCCGTCAGAGTGACAAAGCCAGGAAGGCCCCGGTCTGGTCTTCACGTCTCCTCAGGCTGCAGCGCACCTTCCTGAGGAAGGCAGCAGCTTTCAGACTGGCGCTGTGCCTGCTCCCGGCCGCCGTCTGCGCTGGGACAGCCTTCTCAGGCAGGTCAGGGACAAGAAGTCTCGTACCAGGGTAGCCGGGTGTTGCCAGCTGCAGTGTATTTCACCATCTTCCATCGTTCAGCAGCAGAGGGTGGCAAGTGGCAAGGGTGCCAATAAAATCCACTTTTGCCTTCTCCACTGCCAGCGTCCCCGGGTGTACGCCACTGATGGCACAGAGGGGCTCCTGCCTGTTCCCGCTGATACCAATGCTCTTCTCTGGGTTTCTGGTCTTCACTGACGTCTCTGAGGAGGAAGCCTTGAGAATGTGAGAATCACGGACTGAGTTAGGGAATCCTAGGACAGTGCCAGGAGAGGAAGGGATGGTGTATGTTAGGAAATAGTGCACAGGTCTTCGGGATTTTCTCTGAACTAAGTGATTTCCCACCCTGGCTGATAGGAAATAAGAGTCAGTCTGGGGAGCGCTGGTGATTCTGTGGATGTTTTCCTTCCTCCTGCAGGTGCCTCCTGACAGAGGCTGGGTCAGGTGTTTTCTCATTCCTTCAACAATTGTACGTGAACCCCATTTTGAGTATGAATTATCCCAGACTCCTTTCATTCTTACGAGCAGTTTGGAAGGACTAAAAAATAAAATGTATTATTGACAATGAAATAAGCAGATGATAGTAGATTTATTAATATTGTGGAATTGCAAGGATGTGTTTCAGTGGGCAAGGGTGTTTCCTGACGTTGAGAAGCACTCCAAGTGCCTGATCATTAAAGCTAGTTCTAATTAGCACACATATTCACCATTTACTCATTCAACAGATGCTTACTGGGCACCTTCAACACACCAGGTGTGTTCTAGGTACTAAGAGTAGAAAAGCAGTGAACAGAACATCCCAAAATAAACAGTGTGCGAGGTAGCAGTGCTGGGAGATGTTTCTGCATCACTCAGGGTCTGGGGAGATCAGCAGGTGCATCTGGGCGGAGATGCGAGGCAGGCAAGGGTGCCAGCCTGGAGGGTATCTGTAGAAAGAAAATTGGAAGTCTCTGAACAAAGAAGCCAGGGTGACTGGAACCGAGATAGCCAGGGAGTAAAAGTAAACCAAGCAGCCAGGTGTGGCCAGAGACCAGACGCCATGGAACCTTGTGAAAGCTGGGTTTCTTAAGGCTGCTGAGAGAAGCAGCCACGAAGGTTTTGAGCTGATGTGTTATCAGCAGGAGGAAACAGGCAGAGGCGGAGACCAGGGGAAAGCATAATCCACAGAGCAGGCAGCAGCAGCGGTCAGGGCAGGGTCGGTCCCCTTGTTTCATCAAGGCGAAGCTGGCAGGACTTGCTGGCAGGTTGGATGTGGATGTGGAGAAAAGGAGGCACCATGAACTAGTCCTCCGTTTGTGAAGGCAGCTAGAAAGCCTGACTGGCCGTTTCCGGTTTGAAGCAGCTGCACAGGTGAATCCTTCCCCCCAGGAAAAAAGTCTAGACTGGAAGCAGAAATGTGGAAGTCATCAGTGTATAAAAGGCGTTTGAAGCCACGATGTGCACTGAAATACCTGGAGTCTTCGTGTAGAAACAGAAGCAGTACAGGAAGTGGGTCCTTAAGCACTGCAGCATTTTAGGGAGCTGGGAAGAACCGGCAAAGATGACTGAGAAGAAACAGGCGAGGAAGGAGGAAAAGGTAGCCCAGACGCCAAAGGCAGCATTTCCAAGAGGAAGCAGAGATGAGGTGTATCGAGTGGTGCTGTGGCTCTGCTAAGGTGAGCGCTGTTGACCAGACAAGAACAGTTCCTGCTGATTTAGAGGCAGATTCCTGGTTGGAGTGCCACTAGGAATGACCCAGGAGAGGGGCAGGGACTGCTAGCACAGTGGCCACAAAGGGACGGTGCAGGCCAGAGGCCGCAGCAGGGAAGGCCGCCCGCACGGTCCAGATACGGGCAGGCAGTGGGACTTGTGGGAGGCCACGCTCACCACCTGCCTTTTCTCAGCAGTCAGGAAGCAAGGTCATCAGTGGACAGGGCAGGGCAAAGGGACTAAAGGTTAGAGAAGGGGGGCAGGAGGGAGTGTTCCAGGAGAGGAGCAAAGCCGATGGTCTGGAAGAGTGGAACAGGATGGCCAGATTGTGCTGACGAGCCTCGAAGTTGGTGGTCGTGCATTAGACGCTTTTGTTTCTCTCCTAGTGCCTGCAGCTACAGGAGTCCAGCACGGAGTAGACTAGTTCTGCACAGGGGGTAGCTTTGCCTCCCTTCCCCAGGACATCTGGCAACATCTGGAGATATTTCTGGTTTCCTAAGGGGGCGAGGGTGCTACTGGCATCTACTGGGTGGAGGCCAGGAAGACCGCTGAGCATGCTACACACAGGCACTATCTCATTCAGGACGTCAGTGGAGCCACTGTTGAGAAACCAGAAACTGAGAACCAGAGTAGGGTTGTACCAGGTAGGTCTGACAGAGGCCGGGCTGTGGGGTGGGCTAGAGTAAGGACGGATGTGAGGGATTCTGTAAAATAGAGAAGTGGATTGTGGGGCTCAGTGACCTCAGAGAAGCCTGGCAGCCTAGCCCGAGTGAGTCAGCAAAGCTGGCAGTGGTCATCAGAGAACAGGACATAGGCAAGTGAGAAGGTACAGTCCCAGCTACCTAAGATCTTTGTTAGGCCACACCGTGAGTGGCTGGGACAGAAGAGGAGGTGGTTAGAGAAGATGCAGTCAAGGACCTGAGACCCCAGAATAACAGCAGCTGAAGGAACACCGAGGAAGTGGGCGTGGTTGAGGAGCCTGCAGGACGGAAATGAGGCCAGGGCCTGTGGGGGAGTCTGAGGGCGAGAAACCACGCCTAGCACACACTGACTTCCTATCAGTCCTTCCTTGAAAGTGTTCAAAAATGGGCTCGCGGTTACAAGGATCGTGTCTGGTCCAGTAGCGGGCTGGAGCTGCCAGTTCCTGTGGTGTAAAAACCCCCACATGGCAAGTTCTCACCTCCACTGGACGTCCCTGAGTGCAGCGTCAGAAGATGCGCACGTGTGGCTCTCCTGAGTTGGTGAGAGCAGCTCCAGCATGGCCTGGCTGTGTCCGTAACCCCAAGAACCGTGTTGTGGAATCGATCTTTCACAGTGGGAAAGAACTCAGGGTGTACCAGTGAAGGAGGGGAAAGGCACTCTTTACGTTAAATGTTAACATCTACCTGGGAAGACGCACAAAAGAACGTCAGTGGTGACTACTCTGGCCTGCCGAGTTTGGTGGCTGCTTCTCTTTTCTTGGCCATGTCCTTTATTGGATATGAACATATGTAGCATGATCATACTGGTAGATTTTTTATTTATTTAAAAGGCACAGAAATCTTCTATGTGCTGGTTCTCCCTGACACCCACCAAATGCCTACCACAGCTGGGGCTGAGCCACAGGAAAACCAGGAGCCAGAAGCTCATGCTGCGTCTGTCACATGAGGGCGGGAAGCTGAGTCAGGAGCGAGACCCAGGCCTTGCTGTGGGAGGCAGGCTTCCCAAGAGAGCCTTCAGTGCCTGCCCCAACAGCTAGTTCAGTATTTCCCAGTCTTTTTTTTATTAAATTGGTGTGCTACCTGAATCAGCTTGGAAATAAATCCATGGCTTCTGTTTTTTTTTAAAAAAACTTTTATTTAATAAATTTCCAAAGTACAACTTTTGGATTATAGCGGCTTCCCCCCCCATCATCTCCCTCCCACCCGCAACCATTCTATCTCCTACTCTCTCTCCCATCCCATTCTTCATCAAGGTTCATTTTCAATTATCTTTACATACAGAAGATCAACTTGGTATATACTAAGTAAAGATTTCAACAGTTTGCACCCACACAAATACATAAAGTATAAAGTACCGTTTGAGTAGTAGTTTTACCATTAATTTGCATAGTACAACACATTGAGGACAGAGATTCTACATGAGGAGCAAGTGTACAGTGACTCCTGTTGTTGATTTAACAATTGACACTTATTTATGACGTCAGTAATCACCCGAGGCTCTTGTCATGAGCTGCCAAGGCTATGGAAGCCTCTTGAGTTCACAAGCTCCGACCTTATTTAGACAAGGCCATAATCAAAGTGGAAGTTCTCTCCTCCCTTCAGAGGAAGGTACCTCCTTCTTTCCGCTGGGATTCACTCACAAAAGTCTTTCATTTAGGTTTGTTTGTGTTTTGTTGTTGTTGTTTTGTTTTGTTTTGTTTTGTTTTTGCCACAGTGTCTTGGCTTTCCGTGCCTGAGAAACTCTCATGGGCTTTTTAGCCAGATCCAAATGCCTTAAGGGCTGATTCTGAGCCCAGAGAACTGTTTAGGGCATCTGCCATTCTATGAGTCTGCTGTGTAACCTGCTTCCCATGTTGGATCGTTCTCTCCTTTTTAATTCTATCAGCTATTATTAGCAGACACTAGTCTTATTTATGTGATCCCTTTGACATTTAATCCTATCTTTATAATCAATTATGAACTTAAGGGGCTGGCGCCGTGGCTCACTTGGTTAATCCTCCGCCTGCGGTGCTGGTAGCCCATAAGAGCAACGGATTCTAGTCCCGGTTGCTCCTTTTCCAGTCCAGCTCTCTGTTGTGGCCCGGGAGGGCAGTGGAGGATGGCCCAAGTGCTTGGGCCCCTGCACCAGCAAGGGAGACCAGGAAGAAGCACCTGGCTCCTGGCTTCGGATCTGCGCAGCACCGGCCGTGGCAGCCATTTGAGGAGTGAACCAACAGAAGGAAGACCTTTCTCTCTGTCTCTCTCTCTCTCTGTCTATAACTACCTGTCAAATAAAAAAAAAAAATTATGAACTTAAACTGATCACTTTGACTAGTAAGATGGCATTGGTACATGCCACCTTGATGGGGTTGATTTGGAATCCCCTGACAGGTTTCTAGCTCTACCACTGGGGCTAAGTCCGAGTGTGCGTGCCAAACTGTACATCTCCTCCCTCTCTTATTCCCACTCTTAAATTTAACAGGTATCACTTTTCAGTTAAATATAAACACCTAAGGGGCCTGCGCCATGTCTCACTTGGCTAATCTGCCACCTGCGGCGCCGGCATCCCATATGGGCGCCAGGTTCCAGTCCCGGTTGCTCCTCTTCCAGTCCAGCTCTCTGCTGTGACCCCAGGAAGGCAGTGGAGGATGGCCCAAGTGCTTGGGCCCTTGCACCCGCATGGAGACCAGGAGGAAGCACCTGGCTCCTGGCTTTGGATCGGCACAGCGCCAGCCGTGGTGGCCATTTTGGGGGTGAACCAACGGAAGGAAGACCTTTCTGTCTCACTGAATATAACTCTACCTGTCAAATAAATAAAAAGGAAAAAAAAATGTAAACACCTAAGAATAATTGTATGTTAATTAAAGAGTTCATCAAGTGGTATTAAGTAGAACAAAAAAAATACTAAAAGGAATAAAATAGTAAGCTGTTCCTCGACAGGACAAAGGCTGATAAAGTCATTGCTTCTCATAATGTCCGTTTCACTTCTACAGGTTTCCTTTTTGGTGCTCAGTTAGTTGTCACAGAGCAGGGAGAACATATGGTATTTGTCCCTTTGGGACTGGCTTATTTCACTCAGCATGTTTTCTGTATTCCTCCATTTTGTTGCAAATGACTGGATTTCTTTTTTTTATTGCTGTATAGTATTCTATAGAGTACATGTCCCGTAACTTCTTTATCCAATCTACTGTTGATGGGCATCTAGGTTGATTCCAGGTCTTAGCTATTGTGAATTGAGCTGCAATAAACATTAAGGTGCAGACAGCTCTTTTATTTGCCAATTTAATTTCCTTTGGGTAAATTCCAAGGAGTGGGATGACTGGGTTGAATGGTAGGGTTATATTCATGTTTCTGAGGAATCTCCAAACTGTCTTCCATAATGGCTTTACCAGTTTACATTCCTACCAACAGTGGATTAGTGTGTCCCTTTTTCCCCCACATCCTCGCCAGCATCTGTTGTTGGTAGATTTCTGTATGTGAGCCATTCTAACCGGGGTGAGGTAAAACCTCATTGTGGTTTTGATTTGCATTTCCCTGATGGCTAGTGATCCTGAACATTGTTTCATGTGTCTGTTGGCAGTTTGGATTTCCTCTCTTGAAAAATGTCTGTTGAGGTCCTTGGCCCATCTCTTAAGTGGGTTGTTTGTTTTGTGGTTGTGGAGTTTCTTGATCTCTTTGTAGATTCTGGTTATTAATCCTTTACCTGTTGCATAGTTTGCAAATATTTTTTCCCATTCTGACGGTTCCTGGCTTCTGTTTGAATGGCTTTTATCTCTAGATGAAGTTATGAGTACTAAAAAGTAGAAAATTCTCTGATAACTTATCAGTTGAGGAGAAGAAAAGAACTCAGAGTCATTTGGTTCTTAATCATAAGACAAGGGATGTGTGGTCTCAACCCCATCTTTAAAAGAGTGGCGTTTTTTTCCTGTTTTTAATTCATATTCACAGTATTCAATATTATCAATTTTGTTATTTTCTTTAGAGATAGGTTTATGCTGTTTTATTCTCATTTGAAGCATTTTCCTGTTTTTATATATTCTCCATGGATTTAATATTGTATGGTTACAGTGAAGCAGGCTCAGTCTTTCTGTTGTGTATTTGATGTGCAGACTTTTTCTCTAGGAGGTAATACAGTAAACACTCAGTGCTGTGAGTACAGTACACAGGAGACCCGCAGTAACTGTGCTGCATTGGAACAGATAACGCCAGGCTGGGCATCTTGCCCTGCCTCAGGGGACAGATGCAGGAGGGAAGGAGCTACCTGTCATGGCTCTTGAAATGTGTATAGTGCATTGCTTTCCCAAGTGGTCCTGTCAGTTTCCAAGGTGCATTGCTATTGAATTTCAAATCATAGAGACACACAAGTAGAATAGGTTCCAGGTGATACAATCTCTTCAAATGTGCTTATTTTCTTTTCTCAAAAATAGCAAAGCCATCCCAAGAATCCAAACGACAAACATCGTAACAAGAAGTGCAAAGATCCCAAACCCCGGGTCAAGAAGTTGAAGTACCACCAGTACATTCCTCCGGACCAGAAAGGGGAGAAGAGCGAGCCGCAGATGGACTCCAACTACGCCCGCCTGCTGCAGCAGCAGCAGCTCTTCCTGCAGCTGCAGATCCTGAGCCAGCAGCAGCAGCACTACAATTACCAGACCATCCTGCCCGCGCCAGTCAAGTACGGGGCGGGCTCGGGGCTGGGGCCCCAGTGCGTGTCACGGAGGGCAGATGTTGTGACTCCTGTGTGCCCAGGGTCATTTCCATTTCGCTAGCAAAGTCTCAAGTGCACAGAGCACGGCCTGCATTCCATTGCAGCCATTTACCCTCCATCATGGCTTCTCAACTCTGATGTTAGAATTCCCTTTTCTAAATTACTGTTTGTGAGATGCATCTTTTCTGGTGCAAATAGCAGTAATTAATTTTTCCTTGTCTGTCCATCACACTTTTGATGGATAGTTGAATTTCTTCTAGCTGGGGCTATCATGAATAATGCCGTGTTAAGTATTCTCATCTGTGTCTTTTGATGCATGTATGTATAGCTTTGTGTTCAGTGACTGTGGAGGAGTGGGATTGCGAGGCCCTCGGGTTGGTGCATGGTTTTCTCTAGTACCGTGGAACAGCTTTCCCGAGTGGTGGTACCAGTTTAGACTTCTGCCAGCAGTGTGTGCATTCCAGTTTTTTCAAGTACTTGGTATTGTCAGTCTTACTCATTGGAACAGTTTTACAGGGTATTGGTGTGTGTGTGTTTGCATTTTTCTTCATACCTAATGGTAAGCATTTGTTCACATATTTATGACCATCGGGATAAACTTTCCAAGACCCCCCTCTCTACCCACTAGATTGGTTTTTTCTTACTTATTTTTATGGGTTTTTTTTTTTTTTTTTTGGTCTATTCTAAGTTTGACATCTTTGTCAGAAATAAGTATTGCAGATATCTTGTCCTGCTCTGTGGCTTGACTTTTCACTGTCTTAAAGATGTACCTTTTACTCTGTTGTGTCCTGCTTAAGAAATCTTTGCGTATCTCAAGGCTGTGAAAATAATATCTGGAGTTTTCTTCTAACGGTTTTACTGTTTTCATAACTCACATTTAGGTTTTGGGGGATGATGGGAGGGAGGGGTTGATCAAGAACCATTTTTTTCCTGTTTGAATATTCACTTTGGCCCCACACTGCCTTCATCCCTGGCTTTGCATACATGTCAGTATGCCTGATGGCATAACCTTTCCTGCTTTAGCCATAGCCATGTGATGCTTAGAATTGCCTGTCAATTTCCACTAAAACAAGCAAGTGAAACCCACAGGGAGATTTTATTGGTATCTAGTTTGATTGACAGCTTTACAATATCAGGTTTTCCAATCCATGACCATGATATTTTTCTCTTCATAACTTCAAAGAAGCAATGTCAGGTCCATAAATTATTTTATTGTAAACTCTAGTTTTCTTTTTCTTTCACAGAAATGACAAAAACAACAACAGTGGGAATTCAGCCTTGAACAACAGCACATCGAACACACCGAGACAGAACACAGCTGCTCCTGTGAGAAAGCCAGGACCACTGCCTTCTAGCCTGGACGACTTGAAGGTGATGATTCCAGCCAGCCCAGCCCTAAGCACCACAAGCAAGTCAACCACTTGCTAGGCTTGCCCGGCAGATGTAGCTCGCTTTCGGTAGACGCTCAGCTTTGTTATTGATACGGTCACTTTTGGAGAGGTGCTTTTCTTAAGTGAGCAGTAATGACCTTCATTTACTGAGCAGGCATCTTTTGCAGGCACCATACCGGTTCTGTTGAATTCCAGAAGCTGTGTTTTTGGTTTTTTTTTTTTTTTACCCCCTGTTCAATGCCAGGTTTGGGAGAAGCAGGAAACTGAACAGTTAAGAACCTGAGCTCCAGGGTCAGTCGTACTAGGTCCATATCCCAGGTAGGCTGTTTCCTCCGGCAGCTTGGATGAGTGACTCAGCCTCTCTCTGAGTGATCTCCTTATCTCTAAAACAGGAAATAGAACATATTGAGTGGAAAGAGTAAAGGATTTCAGCAGTGTGTTGCATCATCATTCCTGATGATAGCTCTGTAGACGAGTTACCCTCTAAAAGCCTTACTCTGTCACTTCTGTAGTTACATGTGTATGAAACTGTGTGTGTGACTGCACACAAGGAACTGGGGACCAGTTAGCGGACAGAGATGCACGTACCTGCTCTGCTGTGATAGCATGATGGCCTCAGTTACCAGCGGTCAGCCGTGATTCCAGAAATACATAATCCCTAAGTTGTACATTCAGCATGCTGGGTGATGTGATAAAAATGATGCTGTGAATTCTCCCTTGGTCCAGCACACCCACAATGTATGCACTACCTGCCCACTAGCCATCTGGTAGCCATCTTGGGTATCAGGTTGGCTGTTTCAGTATTATAGTACTTGTGTTCACGTACACTTACTTTATCTCTTAATGGCCCCAAAGTCCACTGATGCTGGCCATGTAGCTCTGCCAAAGAGAAGCCATAAAATGCTTCCTGTAAGTATTATCTCACATGATCACAGAAAGGAGGGGGAGTTCGGTACAATGTTTTGAGAGAGATTATATAACATCTTATCATTGTTACAGTTCTATTTTATCGTTAGTCATTATTACCGTGCCTAATTTATTAAATTCTATCATATGAATGTACAGAATATATACTATGAAAAAACTATGCATGGATTTTAAAAAAAAATAAGTTTATCTTTTACCCTTTTTCCAGCCCCCCTGTAGAATTTGTTGAGGCATCCACTAGGGGTCTTAGACTATTTCCCAACCATAAAGGAGAATTACTGTGTACTGTACGTTGGTTGGAAAGGTATAAGACCAAAGGATCTGATTTGTTTGTACCCCCAGGTATCAGAACTGAAGACAGAACTGAAATTAAGGGGTTTGCCAGTGTCAGGCACCAAACCAGACCTCATCGAACGCCTGAAACCCTACCAGGAAGCGAACAGCGGTGGCCTTGCCGCTAGCGGTGTGGTGGCAGTGTCATCGGCAGCCATCGTCACCAGTAACCCGGAAGTCACCGTGGCATTGCCAGTTACAACCCTGCAGACTGCCGTGACCAGTGCCCGGTCCACTTTCAAGGCGGAAATGCCATCCTCCGGCACCGGCAGCGTGGCCCACGTGGACGGTGCTCACTCCCCCCTGCCCATCTCACCCTCGCCCTCGGAGCAGTCCAGCCTCAGCACCGACGACACCAGCATGGCCGACACCTTCACCGAGATCATGACCATGATGTCGCCCTCCCAGTTCCTGTCGTCATCTCCCTTGAGGGTGGCAAACAGCGAGGACAGCCTGAGCCCCGCTGGCAGCACCCTGTCACACCTGGAACTGGACGCCGCCGAGAAGGACCGCAGGCTGCAGGAGAAGGAGCAGCAGATCGAGGAGCTCAAGAGGAAACTGGAGCAGGAGCAGAAGCTCGTGGAAGTCCTGAAAATGCAGCTGGAGGTGGAGAAGCGTGCGCAGCAGCGGCCGCCGGAGCCCCAGCCCCGCGCCCCTGCTCCGGGCGCCACCAAGGCAGACCAGAAAGCGGGCAGTGTTGGTCCCTCCGTCAAAGATGAGGCCTCCCTCCCTGACTGCTCCAACTCCAGGCAGCCCGTCCCTGCAGGGGCCCAGACCGTGCTTGCCCAGAAGGCTGTGGTGATCAAGCAGGAGGTGGCGGTGGCGCAGGTGGCGCAGGCGGAGCAGCAGGGCATCGTCCCGCAGTTCTACGTGAGTCCCCAGGGCCAGCCGCCGCCTGCCGTTGTCGCTCAGCCCCAGGCTCTACTGACCACCCAGACTGCTCAGCTGCTGCTCCCTGTGTCCATCCAGGGCTCGAGCGTCACCTCCGTGCAGCTCCCCGTAGGCAGCCTCAAACTCCAGGTGGGAAGTGCCTCTTATAACATCTTGCCTTACAGCACATAGCGGGTGGAAGCTGCAGTGGTGACACCATGCCTGGGCAGTTTGATGAAGGCATCCACAGGGCATGGCACAGTTGTAGGAAGCTGGTGCACATGAGATGGCTTTCAAAAAATAGTAAAACAAGCACAGGTATTTTTCTATTACCTTGTCCCTTTAAAAAAAAATAATTGAAAGGCAGAGTTACAGAAAGAGAGATCTTCCATCCTCTCATCCACTCACCAAATGGCTGTAACACCCAGGGCTGCTGGACCAGGCCAAAACCAGGAGCCTGGAACTCTATCCAGGTCTCCCATGTGGCTATCAAGAGCCCAAGTACTTTGCCTGGGAAAGAAGTGAAAGATGGGCCAATTACCAGGGTGCTGCCTTAGAAATGAAGCAGGACCTCAGGCAGCAGCTTAACCCACTGTGCCACAACGCCGGCCCTGTGCCTTGTCCCTTTAATGAGCACAACGGTTTCATAATATGTGGACAGTTTTGAAATGTCAATGACGTAGTAACAGCTACTGCTCATACAGAGCACTATGAATTTGTTGAGGCATCCACTAGGGGTCTTAGACTCTATTTCCCTCTCTATATATACACATACACACGTATTTATATATGATGCATTACATATTTTTAAATGGCTTACTTTAATTCTCGTTCCCCAGAAGACCCAGGCGATAGAGCCTGTTTGTCAATAAGGAAGCCGAGGCTGCAGAGGGGGACTGAGTTGCTGGAGGACAGAGCAGATGGGAAGCATCCTGGGTGCTGTGACCCCAGAGCTCTGACTGGTAAACCCTCTCTCTTCCTGCCGCCCACATTCAGTTCTGGAAAGGCACCCTTCATGTGAGGATGCCTCGGCCAGGACAGCTGTGAGCACAGATGGAGGAGTGAGACGGTGTCAGAGAGCTTAGGGAGCACTGGTGAACATGAAATTCCCTGCATAACCTGTGCGTGAGGAGGCTTCAGAAAGTTAGTAGAAAACTGAATTGGCCGGCGCCGCGGCTCACTAGGCTAATCCTCCGCCTTGCGGCGCCGGCACACCAGGTTCTAGTCCCAGTCGGGGCGCCGGATTCTGTCCCGGTTGCCCCTCTTCCAGGCCAGCTCTCTGCTGTGGCCAGGGAGTGCAGTGGAGGATGGCCCAAGTGCTTGGGCCCTGCACCCACATGGGAGACCAGGAGAGGCTCCTGGCTTCGGATCAACACGATGCGCCGGCCGCGGCGGCCATTGGAGGGTGAACCAACAGCAAAAGGAGGACCTTTCTCTCTGCCTCTCTCTCTCACTGTCCACTCTGCCTGTCAAAAAAAAAAAAACAAAAACAAAAAAAAAAAAACAAACCTGAATTGCAGGAGTTTACTGTAAATCCATGCATAACAAAGTTCTTCAAAATGCTCATGCAATGTAAATTATGACATTTACAGGGATTTCAAAATTTATTTGCACTAAAATAAACTTGTAATTCCATTTTCCCATGCACTCTCTGAAGTACCCTCATATTTATTTGGATAGATGTTCAACAGATCTGGACCACAGGTAATCAAGAAACCACACAGGGTCGGTGTTCCCAACCTTAGTACCCAAAGAGCTGTAAGGGCTGAGAGGAATCCTGTACCCTTGTCTTTAGAGCATTTGTGAAGTTGAACTCTACATCTTTAAAACAAATTATTTTGGTCCAAATCTTACCTTACAGGTGATGTTCTAGGAAAAGGAGCCCAGTGGGCATCCAGCCGTGTCCTGGCTGTGCAGAGGAAGGTGGACAGTCAGGCCTCACACAGTTCCTCGTTGCTACTAACTGAATTCTAATACCTGCAGAGTTGGGATCTCAGTTTTCTTTTCCAGACGTTTCATATGAAAATCCTAGCCACTCAAAAACTGAAAATCAGAGCCTGAAAATAACTGGCCTGGTGTTCCACTCTGGTTTAGAGTTGTTAAGGCTCAGATTTATGCAGATGAATTGAAGTACACTTTTATTTCATTTTAGATGTAATTCTCAAGTGACCATTCTGCATCTAAACTCTTGATTCCAACTCTGACAGTTAAACTGGTTTATTATTACTATTGTTGTTATTCTCCTAGACTACGCCACAAGCAGGAATCCAGCCTCAGCCTCAGATAGCAACTACTGCCCAAATCCCTGCTGCCGCCTTGTCCCCAGCCCTGGCCTCGAGCGTTCCTCAGAAACAAGACCCGTTCCAGCAGCAAGTGCTCAGTCAGCCTCAGCAAGCGAGAAAGGTCAGTGAATGCTGATGTACCCCGCAAAACCCGTGCTCATTCTGAGTGTCATCTGCACACCCGCTCAACAATCAGCCCCCGAAAGAGCCTGTTCCCCCAGCCATTGGACTGCAGGTCATCCAGTGCTGGGGGTGTAGAAAGAGCTCTTTATTTTGGAAAGATAGTTTATATATTTATATTTAAAGTATTTTTAAATACTCAAGTATATTGAATTCACTAAGTCTTAAAATGAATTTCTTTTCAAATTAAGTATGCATGTGCTGAATAAGATCTTTTTTACGTCGGCAAGAGTTTCCCACCTCATGGATCAAAAGCCAGGGCTCACCATTCTGTTCACCACTTCCCTGGGTTGGGCCTCACACAAACTCACTTTCTCTAAGTGTCAGTTTCCTCTTTAAAATGAAGGTGTGGGCCTGGGGCCCAGTGTCCTACACGCAGGTTGCTCGCCCAAAAAGTCTGCTGTTAAATGGCCCCTTGATGAACAGAATCCCTTTTATCCAGCAGGTGGAGCTCTGCACTTCTTGCCAGAACAGTGTCAGTGCATCTGAGGGGGTGTTGTGACCCCCGAGAATTATCAGTCCCCTCAGTGCTCACCTGGAGGATAGAAGGGTACTTGGCAGTGTGCCTCGGGGCATTGTTAACCCTCGGGCTGTGGCAGCGTAGGAGCCAGCAGGTACGAAATGCAGTCACAGTGTATGGACAGGCCCAGTTAGGATTTATTCACTGAGTCTCGAAATACTAGAGTTAGAGATCATTCCATTCAGTTCGTACAAAATAACTTGGGTTTTTGCCAAATATAAGGAAATTCAGTGGGAATATACTTACCAAACTCAGCGCTTCATGGAAGAAAACAGGTTTTCCATGAACTTTTTGAAGTCTCCTGTTAGACATGTTGTCATTGGTTAATATTTATGTATGTGTGTTTTTAGTAAGACTATAGAGGACAGAGTTCCCCTTTCAGAATATTGGTGATGTAAAGACTTTAGTAGTTCTGTGAACTACAGCATGGTAGCAGCAGCAAGGCCATATGTTATAAAAGGCTGTGCGATGGGGTCTGAACTGAACATTTTGCAGTTTCACAGGAAGAAATTCTCAGCAAGAGGTGGGTTTCAAATGGGACTTTGCATGTGGTTGAAGAAATCTGAGTGTGGCCACAGGAAGGATAGGAAGGGGCACAGGTAGTAAGTAAGAAGCTTTACCATCTGAATGTGTGGGGCCTGGATTAGTCCAGTGGTAGAACCCCAGAGCGGTGAGAGACAATGGCTCCCGGTTAAGAGATGAAGCCTCCTACACGGGTGAGTGATGAGCTGAACGGTGCCTTTCACCTTGGTTTATGAAAACAAGTAACAAAGATAGAAAGCAGAAGGCAGAACCAGGAGTTGCTGTCCTGAGAGCCTAGGGGTCGGGAGCAGAAAGGAGCAAGCTGCATTGGGAACATGGGAAAGTTGAGGTGTCCGGGAAGATGCGGAAGTGAGCCAGGCCTGTGGGAGCGAGGGTGGAGTTAGAGAGACGAGCCTAGAGATCCTCAGCTTAGTGTGGCCATCCACACCCCGAGGTGAGATTGCCCTTGTGAGGACTGTAGGAAAGTCAGCTGTCACTGGAGAGGAGCCGACATTGTTTTTCCACAAGGCACAGTCTATCGTGCCAACTAAGACAAGTACCTACGTAAAGGGACTGCTCGTGCCCCAGAATACCTAGGGGCAGACAAACCAGGGCCCACTGGCTGTTGTGGTGAATGAGGTTTTTCTAAAGCAGCACGTGCCCCTGTGGCTGCACCTGTGCTGCAGCGGGGAGCTGGGCACCCAGCACACAGGCCCGAAACTACATCCTGTGTGGCCTCTGCAGAAAACACTGGCCGACTCCCGCTCTAAAATGTGGCTTCCTTTACAAGGAAAAGCGAAAGAAGAAACTGACAGCAGTGTTTCTTCACAACAGGTGTTCACAAACTCGACCCCCAACACCGTGCTTCCGTATCAGAGACCGCCCGCGCCGGCCGTCCAGCAGCCCTTCGTCAGTGCCCCCGCCAGCGGCATCTGCCAGCCCAGAAACGCTCCACCCCCAGCCTTGCAGAACGGGGCTCCTGCTCCCACCAAGGTAAGCGCATGCCGCATGCAGCAGGAGCAGCACCCGCAGGGGCGAAGGGCCTGGCAAAGCCGTGCGCTTTAGGCCTGGCGGACGGCATGGCCGTGGTGAGGGGGGGAAGAGCGTTGACAGTATGGTGGCGACCACTCCCTGAGGACGAGCAGCACAGTGGCCCACCAGCGGGTCAGCCTCCTGCGTCTCGAGGACCCTGCTCGTGACTTGTGTGATTTGGCTGCCGCGGGCAGCACAGCCGAGAAAGCTCACTGCCAGGCTAACACGGGCTCCCCTGTCTGCTGCAGCCTAGCTCGCCTTCTCCACCCCAGCAGTTTGTCGTCCAGCACTCCCTGTTTGGGAGTCCAGTCGCCAAGACAAAAGACCCTCCCCGCTATGAGGAGGCCATCAAGCAGACACGCAGCGCACAGTCGTCCCTTCCGGAGGTGAGTGAACACTGGGGCCACTGTTGTGAGAGTCATGTTGATGTGTCATCTGCTCATCGTGACCAGCCCCATACAGGACCCCTGTCTGAGAGGCACAGACATGACGACCAGGAGCCTCTCTTTCTACAAAGTTATTTTAAATTGAAATGCCATTTGTTGTAAAGAATCCCAATAACTTTCCATAGGAGTATCACCTGTAGTCACTACTTACTCCTTGTCCTTGGGGGCTAGGGATGGATTATCTCGGGGATAGATGTGATGGTGACCAGGGCCTGTGCTTTATACAGGCCCCTCTTTCCTAACTCCACCATTCTGCAGGCCAGCACCAAACTGACACTCTGCCCTCCAGCAGACATGCATGGCTCCCAAGCACCTAAATCTACTGCCCGACAGGCCATCCCTGCGAGTGCCTCGGCTCCTAGATGGAGCAAACGTCACTTTTCAGGCGGCACAGCTGATGCTCTCCAGGCATCACAATGCCTAATGCCCACCTGGTGACCTCAGGCAGGGTACTGACCTCCCTTCACAGCCATCCTTGGACAGGAGTAGCCATAACTTTACCAAGAATGGAGAAAGTTAGAGCCCCTGTTTGTAAAAGCTTCTGGCCCTGTGGGTGCCTGCCATGACAGCACTTGTCATCCACCACCCTCAACACCCTTCTTGGTCTCTCTGGCCCTGTCAGCTCTTCCAAAGCTTAAAACTCACCTCACCTCCAAGGAAGAACCCCAGCCTCATGGAGGGTGCCAGGAGTGGCCCTGACCCTCCTTAGTTGCCTAAGGCACAGTGTCACATGGGAGGATGGCAAGGCTGAGGGAGCGCAGTTAGCATACACTGCCTTGTAGCTGTCTCCTGCCAAGGGAAAGACGTCCCTTTTGACTCGGCAAGGGCCTCTACCTGAGAGGGAAAAACCAGTTTCTAGAAATAGGGTTAGCCCTCTGCAGTAACAGTGGGCAGGAATGGTGCTGGACTAGACGGCCCTCCCCCAGGCCCTTCAGAAGGGGCATCCTGTCCCGCGGGGAACAGAGGTGAGTCGCGGCACCAGAGCTTAACTGCAGTTGTTAGGAAATACAAGGGGAGCACTCACTCTGGCAAACACCACAGGTGCATTAGTGCTGCCTACTTGATCTGTGTCACAACAGCAACAGACTCTCCCGCTGCCTCCTAGAGAGCGGTCTGGAACCCCTAGTTGACACATTCTGGATTCATGTGTGTACACTGAGGGAGCCTGCGAGACTCAGACGAGTGTAATACCTCTTCACGCACCATTCAGCATCAAGTGGTACAGAAAGCAAGCAGTGAAGGCACTGAAGGAAAGACGTGTACTCCGAGGAGGGGAGTTACATGCTAGGGTCAAGCCAAGGGGCTGGGTTACTGATGGAGAAACCCTTCTCTGTGGTCCATGAAACCAGAAGACTGGGTTGAGGGCAGCTGAAGGGCAACAGCCAGAGAAGTGATCGCCGGTTTCTGCCTGCCCACATCTGTAGCTGACCCCTGAGCCATACGCACACGGCACAGGATCCACAGCTCAGCTGAAGACAGCTCGAAATCAAGGTTGGAACCTCTATCCAAGAAACAGTTTGAAGTTCAAGTGTAACCTAAAACAAGATGACCCATGCATCGAGGCAAATAACCGAGTCTCAAAGTCTCCACAGTGTAAAATCCACAACATCCACTCATTACTTATCGCAAACAGAACAGGAAAATGTGTTCTCAGAAGACAAGGTAACTGCCAAGACAACCCCAAGTTGATGTCGATGTTACTCTCTGCAGACGAGGATTTTGAAGTCACCGTTTATTTGGGGAAGGTGTTTGGCACAGTGGTTGTCATTCCTGCATCAGAGCTTTCAATACCAGCTTCTTGCCAATGCCCTGGGAGGCACAACAGGACACCTGGATTGATCCCTGGATCCTGGGAATACAGGGAGTAAACCAACAGGTGTCTCTCTCATCCTTTCAAAATTTAGAAAATTTTTGAAAAATATATTTGTAGGGGCCAGCACTATGGCATAGCATGATTAATGGAATTTTAAAACAAGTTCTAACTAAACTATCCACCCAGGTCCACTTAGACTGGGTAAAACTCCTTCCTTTAGGTCTGTTAAGAATCAGATCTCAGGGCCAGCGCTGTGGTGTAGCAGGTAAAGCCGCCACCTGCAGTGCTGGCAACCCATATGGGTGCAGGTTCGAGTCCTGGCTGCTCCACTTCCGATCCAGCTCTCTGCTGTGGCCTGTGAAAGCAGAAGATGGCCCAAGTCCTTGGGCCCCTGCACCCACATGGGAGACCCAGAAGAAGCTCCTTGCTTTGGATAGGGGCAGCTCTAGCCATTGTGGCCAAATGGGGAGTGAACCAGTAGATGGAAGACCATTCTCTAACTCTGACTTCCAAATAAATCTTTTTAAAAAAAAGTATATTTGTAATGATTGAAAATATAGGATATCTAAACAGATAAAAAAAAACTAAAAAAAAAAAAAAAAAAAAAAGCTCTAGGAGCCAGCACCATGGCATAGCAGGTAAAGCCACTGCCTGCAGTGCCAGCATCCCATATGGGCACCGGTTCAAGTCCCGGCTGCTCCTCTTCCAATCCAGCTCTCTGCTATGGCCTGGGAAAGCAGAAGATGGCCCAGGTCCTTGGGCCCCTGCACCTGCGTGGGAAACCTGGAAGGCTTCTGGCTTCAGATTGGCACAGCTCCAGCCGTCTGGGGAATGACCCAGCAGATAGAAGACCTGTCTCTCTGCCTCTTCCTCTTTGTAACTCTGCCTTTCAGATAAATATTTTTTAAAAAAACCTAAATGGGAATTCTAGAACTAAAAAGCTACGGTATCTCAAGTTAAAAAAAAAAAATGGAGAAGGCAGAGGAAAAACCTTCCGAGAACCTGCAAACAGATCAGTAGAGCTTTCCAATCTGAATACCATGGAGAGGAAGGAATTTTTTTTTTTTTTAAGATTTATTTTAAAGACAAAGTTAGAGATCTTGCATTTGCTGGTTCACACCCCAAATGGCCACAACACCTGGGGCTACTCCAGGCTGAAGCCAGGAGCCCAGAACTCCATCCAGGTCTCCCTCCTGGTTGCAGGGGCCCAAGAACTTGGGCCGCCTTCTGCTGCTTTCCCAGGTGCCACCAACAGGGAACTGGATGAGAAATGAAGAAGCAAAGTCAAACCAGCACGCATGTGGGGTGTGAGCACTGCACCACAACGCTGGCCCTGGAAGGTTTTTGTAAGAATGAAAGAATGAACAGAGCCTCCGCCCTGGGATGTTAACAGCCTAATGTTGGTAGAAGAGCAGTCCCAGGGAAGAGAGAATGTGGCAGGTGGAGGCATATGCCCAAAATAGTCACAAATTATGCTGAAAGACAAATTTACAGCTTCAAGGTGCACGGTAAACACGTCACTGTACACATAGAGGGCCCATTCATAGCACAGTCTTCAGTAAAAGACAAGGTTATAGAGAAAGGCAAGACGTTAAACACACAGGTAATGGCTGTTTAAGTAATGTCACCTATGAAAACCAGAAAAGAGGCAACAGTGTGTTTAAAGTCAGCCAGAATTCCTTAGCAGAAATGAAAGTGGCACAGCAGTGCAGTCCCCACAGGGGACACCCTCATCAGAATGCCTGATTT